AGAGAGAGAGAGAGAGAGAGAGAGAGAGAGAGAGAGAGAGAGAGAGAGAGAGTATATGATAATGTGCCATATTCAGTGACTTGGCGTCATTCCAGTCAATATCCATTGAAGGGTTGGACATTGTTTCAGTAAACAAGCTTGTTTACTTGTGGTTGAGTAGAAACACAAACCAAACCGTGGCAGGGTTACTTTCTGGACCTGGATTTGATACCTCTGATTACAGCTGTGCATTAATGAAGTAATCATGTATGAGGAGTGCAAGCAAAGTTCTGAGTGGTCTATTTTCTCTCTACAGGACGACACAACAGGACATTTTGAAGGCCCACGATGGACCCTGCAGCCAGGTTTAGCTGCCCAACAAGGGGATATCAACAGTTGAAATGTTTCAATTACAAATATAATCTTGAATAATAAAAGTATTTGGACAAATATGATAGTATCAGGTGAACAATTAATATAATTATTTCTAAAGAACTTATTATTGACAGTGGAGTTATTATGAATTGAAGACAATAGATGATTGGTCGTTCATCTTGGTGGAAGAACATATTTTGGTGTGATGTCAGCGGAAAAATGGACACAGTTTGTTCAATCTGACTCACTGAACGTACATCACATATGTGCCCAAAACTGCACTCAATCATCACCAACATCTCGACTTTTTTCTCTTCACCTTCTGAAAATATCACATTGATAAGCTTCTCCATAAGCGTCCACTTCAAGAGAACCAGGAAATTAGTAAATGGGGTGCTTACTTTTTTTTTTTCTTTTATTTGCGAATCATTTTTATTCTGACTCAAACTTTTCCACCATCTGTTCATATTCACATTCCGTGCTGCTGAACAGCGGAGCATTCTCCATTATAGGCAATCCAAACGGCTGCCCTTGTTTCCCTGTAAAGCAAAAACAGACCATTGTTAACTTTACTTGAACTTGTCTTCGATTTTAATTCATCTTGTGCAAATCAACTGGTACTGGTCAGGCCGACCTCCACACGGAAGTCACGCCACGATTTTTTTTTTCCCCTGAGAAAAGAATAAAGCTTTAAAGATACAATGTGCTGTTCCTAATGTGTACATCATGATTTTTCTGGGAAATAAAAATGACCATGAGCAATGTCCAATCACAGTTCAGATTTGTCACTGGAGTTGTTTCTATTTTCACCACCGGGCAAGCAACGTTCGAGTTCGCGCAAGCGTGTGCGTGTAAATTTGCATGTGGGCGTGTGAGAGTAGCGTGTACGTAGCGTGTAGTACTCACTGGTTGTGCTGACAGAGGGAACACTCGTTGGAGTAAGTATTTTGATCAGTACCACACACAGGGCTGTAAATCTCACGGCAGATTATTCGCTCATGTGTGATAGAACAGGATGGCTGACCAAAAAAAAAAAAAAAGAGTGAATACATAGATTTCAGTTTCTCCAAGAATAAGCAGTGGGGTTTTAAATTCACACTGAACATGCACGAATTATATTTATGTGTGAGCTTTAATTAACCTTAATATGATGTGTAATACTGAGATTGATTTGTTCAGTTCGTGCAGATAAATTAAAAAAGTTGAAAAAAAGAGTACTTGTTTAGTGTAAACGTTCTATACGATTTCTTTTACAAAGAATGTAATTAAAAAAAAACAAAAGGTAAATGTTTACAGTAATAGTCACCCTTTTCGGGAGTGCCTCTGTGTCTGTGAAAGGAAAAATTGTTTAAAAAAGTGAGTACAGTTTTCAAACAAATACTTAATATACTGCATCATGAGCACACAAAATAGAGCACCATGAGAAATACATTTGACCTGGGTTAAGAAAGATACAAGACGCCACCATTGTGTCTTTATCAACACACTGTTGGTATATGTAAATGGTTAAAAACACATTGACACCGTAGTGTCTCAATATTAAATGGCAATATAATTCCATGAACATAAAGAGCATGGAAGGGCAATTTAAATGATTGAGGTGTTTTTTTTTGTTTTGTTTTTTTTTTTATCAGCGGTAGTGGGGGAGGGGTCATAGGGAGGGGTACCATGCAATTCTTAATCAGATATGTGGAAGAAAATGTCATTTTAAATATGGACAAAATATGTGCCAACTTGCAAATAATGAAATTCAACTAGTAACTGATGCCTATCTAAATAGATTTGGAATTTAAATTTTTTTAAACACTCCCGAATTATTCAAAAAAGTGCTGATAAACCTCCAACATAATTCCTCCCCCCCCCCAAAAAAAAAATGAAAAACTAAAAAATTCAGTAAGATCCCCACAGTCCCACAACCAAACTCCCGCACTTTACCCACCCTAAAATATTGAAAAAAATTATTGGAAAAAAATCTGCAAACAGGTCAACCTGCGGGTACTGAACTATAAATATGCGGTGGTCCACTGCAGTAGCGGAAACATGTTTATAATTTCCCCCACAAAGTTTTTTTTGGCGGGGGGAGATTATTCAAGGACCACTCAGTGTGGGCGCGGACCACGTGCAGTTGCCCGTTCCTGATTTAGAGTCTCAAAACATGTCAAGTTAAATATTCATTCTCGTATACCTGCAATCACACAGAAGAGCAGAAGTCCCACAAGAAGAACATTCCCAGCCATGATGACTGTTGGTTGATGAGTTCACAATGACAATGCCACATTGACAGTGCTGGGTATTTATTAGCGTCAGATCGATGCGGATCAAGCCAGGAGGAGTGGCTGATAAGCTAAAAAGTTCACTGACATATTACACAATATTTTTAATATCCGTCATGTTATTGGTTTGTTTTCACAAGAGTCTTGAGTTTTAATTCTGACCTTTGAGATCTACATCCCAGATGCTCTCAAAAATTACATGACAATACTAGCTTCAGAAACATGCAAAGTTAATAATTAAGAAATACTGAGTTGAAATGTATATTATTTGTGCTTGAAATTGCCCCATTGAAAATGTTTCTAGACAAGTTTGTGCACAATGAGTATACAGTACACAATTCAAGAAATAAAAACAGTTGCTTTCATCAAATAAATACACAAATAATAACAATCACATTTTAAAAAAATAAATCAAATTTTCATTTGTTACTTTGTTATATTTTTTTCTGTGTGTGTGTGTGTGTGTGTGTGTGTGTGTGTGTGTGTGTGTGGGAGAGAGAGAGAGAGAGAGAGAGAGACACGGAGTTTGGAGCTTCGATGCATTCAGAAAAAATGGGAATGCGAGAGAGAACATTGTATCCTGAGGTTAAAATTCAAATGTTTGAGTCACATTTTAATTTCCTTCACTCAGCCTGCTCTTCAGCAACATGAGAAGATCAAAGTCTTAGAAAGGACCAATTTAATGCAGCACGCACGGTTCTACAACAATGCCAACAAGCTTTATACAGCACAAACAGTTAACAAACATTTCCCTCCACTTTTTACCCCCAGTGCAGCCATAGATCAGGCCTGACACATTTGAATATCGATTGACCTCTTTCTGCATCTCACATTTTGTCAAGCTGTGTAAGTCATCCTTCCTTTTCAAGGTCAGGTATGAAGTAAACTTGGACAGCCATCTTTTGATTCATACTTTGGGATAAAACGTTTTCAAACATTTTTTTTCTGAAACGCAGCCCACCCAGGGTCATAGTTAGACCCATAGCAACGCGCATAACAACGAAAATGCCTTTGTTCGGCAATCTCCGGTGACTGATGTCATTAACAGAACGTCGAGTCATCAGTCAGCCACTGTACTGCATTCTTGATTGTCCCGTGAAGTGCTCTTTGCCATTGTTATTCAGCAACATGCCTTGGCACTGTGTGGCGATCCACTGTTTGTATTCAGATTTGAGATAAAGGTGACTGTTACTGTCAATATCTATCCATGTCCTATTTGCTTTTATGTAAAAGAAATGAATATTGGAACTTGATAAGTCACAAGTATTTTTAGTTTCTTAATCAAGCTGCATGAGCTGGGAAAATCAATCTCAGAAACGAAGACAGTTGCATTTCTGAACTCTGATTGGCTGGTAGCGGCCTCGTCACAAAAAAATTGAACGTGTAATATCTTTTTGTTTGTTTTGGGACAGATAACTAAAGATAAGGATGTACCTCGTGGTCAATTTGTATGCACTCTGCTCAATTTGTATGCACTAGAAAAACATGTGGGATAACACCAACATTATTATACAGTATATACATTTCTAACATTAGACATTAAATATCATATTGGAATGAATTGGGATAAACCACTAGGTCGGTGTTTCTTAACCTGGGTTCGATCGAACCCCAGGGGTTTGGTGAATCAGTCTCAGGGGTTCAACGAAGCCTCTGCCATGGCGTTTAAGACACACGCGACTCAAAATGTCAATTAGTTATGACACGCCCGCTTGACCACCACTGGCTGCAGATGATCACATGACATTGCTTGTCCAATCAGTGCTGTGGGAAATGTAGTTGGCTTCGTTGTCAACGTGTGACTGTTTTTTGAGCTTTGCACTTCAGAGAAAAAAAAAAAAAATCACAAGAACTTTGAGCCGTTCCCCCAGTGTATTACTTTTGTAACACATGGTTCATTTAGATCTCTTTTCCATTTTACTTTTCAACTTTAAAGTGGCTTACCTACCCCTTAGTTATTGTATTATCCAGCTGAAAGATGGAACAAAATCGAAGCCAAATTTAAACAAGGTTCAAGTTGTTTTTTTTTTTTGTTTTTTTTCCTCCACAGGAGTACAAGGACATCATGATAGTACGTCGTTCAATTTAAAAAAAGTATACTTATCCCTTGAAATGTTATCAACTTTTTTCTGTTTTGAATAAATGCGGGTTTTTTTAAATACACACACACACACACACACACACACACACACACACACACACGCACACACACACGCACACACAC